AATACATGTAGTCACTGGCTCGTAAATATTTTTACAAGGAACAGGAACATAGGCAGCAATGAACATAACACATATTTCAAGAAATTTTTGACAAGTGAAGTTTGAAATACAACTTACAACAATTTCCTGTCACAAAGGTATCTAAGTGCATTCAAACCAATACCGTATTCGGAGTCCGCGAAGGAAGACGACGACGACGATGAAGAAGAAGAATCAGAGGCCTCGTTGTTCCTGTCGACATGTTCAAGCTTGTAGAATCTCCGCTTTATCATCTTTGTGGAAAACCTTTCGAAAGAGAGCTGTGCTCTGCTTTTCAATGGAGAAGAAGCCACAGAAAATCGAGAGCTTCCAGAGGGAGAGGGAGAGCCGAGAGGGACCAAACAACACAATGCTGAGCGACGGCGGTCGGTGAGAGACTGAATGAATGGGCTTCTAGTTGTAAAGCCCTTGCATTTTGGATCTAGTGGAGTTAGGTCTAGTTAAAGGTTAATCTTGATAAATACTTTTTAAAAATTTATAGATTAAATTATTTTTTAATTAAATAATTATATTAATAAAAAGATATTTATTTAAAATAAAAGTTAAAATTATAAAAATTTAGACTCGTACACTTTTAAAGATAAATTTTATATTTTTTTTAAAAAGAGAAATGAGACAAATACCCTAGTTCATAAGTCTAATGTACTCTCATAATAAATTCAACAATTTTTATTATTTACTCTTATTTGTTAAAATAATATTAATAAAAAATAAAGAATAAAAATTCAGACTCATGTACTTTAAAAATAAATTCAATAATTTTCTTTTATTTGAAATTGTACGAGGTCAATTTATTAATTAAGAGAAAAAGTATATGATTTACTATGATTTTGTTCAAACCTATTATTTATAAGAAAAATACAAAAAATAGCATATCTTATCGGTCTTGATGAAGTAAATAGCATAATATTTTAAAACTGATAAATTATAGCATATCTCCGGACTTTCCTTTTAAATAATTTTACCCTTTTTATTGTTACAGTTTCTTTTATTTTCTTCCTCACAACCCCTCAATCATCACCTCTCTCTCTCTCTCCTCTGATATGTTCCAAACTCCCTCGAGTCTCATCGTTACTCTCCCTTTGAATCAGCTACAAGATTGCAAACTCTCTCAAGTTTCGCTGTCGTTCAAGTCATGGTACTAGAGATTGTGACGAACGATATCACGATCGTCAGCACGGCACCTTCACCGGTAGGGACCTCGAGGTATTTTTCAGTTGTTGTTGTCAGTCGTTAAATTTTTAGATAAATATGGTAAATACAGTATATATCAATAAATATAATATTTATCAATAAATATGATATTTACCAGTCACCGGAGCTAGTTGGCAGATTTTTAGATAAATACCGATAAATACAATATTTATCAGTTGCCGGTGTCGATCACCGAATTTTAGATAAATATGGTAAATATAATATTTATCATTAAATACAACATTTACTAGTCACCGGAACTGGCCGTGGATCACCGGAGCCGCCCATAGTAGACTCAACTATTGGAAGATGACGAAAAGGGTGGAAAGAGGGATTAGGGGTAGTTTTGAGTTTTTAATAATGTTTGAAACTTAAAATATCAAATTATGCTATAATCTAGAAAAAAAAATGTTATAATTTACTAAACATCTTACTAATATGTTATTTCCCTCATTCTCCTTTATTTATATCATTTTAATTAATTATGTATCATTATAATCTTTTATTTTTTCTACATTAATTGAATGATAATTGTTTACTTTTAAATGAAGTGACATAAATAATGTACTTTACCATTTCAAGTGGTATTTTTGGTTATTTTTCCAGTTTGTTAAACTGTTTTTGGTCAATAACATAATTTAAAATAATAGAAACATATAACATATGCCAATATGTTGGGTCCTATAAGTAAAAAAAAAAAAAAAACATGTTGTGTTTTAATTTTGTCCTTATATTCTTTTTCTCCTTAAATTTTATGCTATTTATTTTTATTGAAACCCACAATTATGCTAATTCCCTAACTCCCCCAAAATTATGGGATTGAAATACAATCCATAAGAAATATAAAATTATATTTTAACCCTTAAAAATTTTAAAAATTAACGTTTTAAAAAAATATCATTAGTGATGATGTTAATGTTTTATAGTGAAATTGTTTTTAAATCACTTATTATTATTATTTTTTAACTCTCTAATCTTTCTACACCATTTCACAAAAAGCATACGTGTTCATCATTTTGAGTTTCAAAAATAATTTTTTCTAAAATTGTTTAATTTAGTGGCAACGAAAGTTTGAGTAGGGTGATCCTTTAAGGGAAGATTGCAGCTTGCAATATCATATATTGTACTTAAAAGTAAAAAAAAAAAAAAAAGTTAAATTGTTTTTAGAGAATTAGAGAAATGTGGTAGATTAAGGGCCTATTCACTTCGTTGATTCGAGTTTGTAATTCGAGTTAAGATGTAATTTTGTGTGAGAGCTTTTTACTGTAGCAAAAAAGTTAGATGTGACTGTTTCAGAGAGATTTTTACTGTAGCAAAACTCGAATCTAAACTCGAATCGGCGAAATGAACGGGACCTAAGAGTCTGTTTAGTTCACTGATTTGAGTTTTTAATTTGAGTTGAGATGTGACTTTATGTGATAGCTTTTTAATGTAGTAAAAAAGTTAAATGTGACTGTTTCTGAGAGCTTTTTACTGTAGCAAAATTTGAATTCTAAATTCAAATCGGTGAAATGAATGGAGCCTAAGAGCTCGTTTGGTATGAGGATTCAAATCAAGGTGATTCTAATTATGATTTTAGAACCAGAATCATGATTCATGATTTTAAGTTCAAATCATGATTTTAAAATAATGATTCAGAATTAGAGATTTAAATCACCTTAAATCAAAAGAGGATGTGGTTTTAGAATTATAATTTGACCTAGTTTAAAACATCATATCAAATTCTGAATCATGATTCAGAATCATCCAAACTAAACACGTGAGGATGTTTAGTTGGAGAATTCAAACCATGTGATTCGAACAATTTTTAATTTACGTGTATTTTATGTGAAAAAAAATACTGTAACGAACCATAAATTATAATTCGAATCAGAAAACGAATTTTTTTACTAAACATCTCTTCTGAATTATAATTTAAAATCATAATTTAAAATTACTGTAAATTTAAACCAAAATTCAGAATTGGAGGCTGTCACTGTTAATATGATCCCTTCAACTTTTCACAACTGACAATCTGGTCCTGAATTTTTTTTTAATCAGTTCTTTAACGTTTGTTTGAAATTCGTGACGATTCTGGTGAATCTGGTCCAATTGGTAACAACAGTCAAATTGTGTACTGTTTTGACATGTGGTTGGCGAGTGGTATCTCTTTTAAGGGTATTAAATGCTTAAACAGTAACAAAGAATGAATAAATATATAAAAAAAGTAATTAAAACATTAAAAAGACTTTTTACAACTGACAATCTGGTCCGTGAATTTTTACGTTTGAAATTCGTGACGATTCTGGTCCAATTGGTAACAGCCGTCAAATTGTGTATGGTTTTGACATGTGATTGGGAGTGAATAAATATATTTAAAAGTAATTAAAACATTAAAAAAAAAAGAAAATAAAAAAAAATCAAGAGCTCAGCAACCCCATCTCTCTCTCCCTCTTTCTCTCTCCCAGCTTCTCCTCTTTTCCTGCGTGCTGCTACCCAGGCAAAGCTCCTCAGTCGAAGCGCCGACGACTTCCTCCGGCGATTTTTTTTTGCTTAAAATCCGGCGAAGTTATTATTCTAGTGAGCACTCCCATCAAGTCTGCAACAGCCTTGGATTTTTAAGGTTTTAATTTTTTCACCGATTTAAATTTTTATAATAAAATATTTTTAAAAAATGTCATTAAAATTTTTTTAAAAAATATCACAATCTCAATTTAAATTCGTGAAGTGAATAAGAGCTGGGCAAAGCAATTTTGGAGGCGTGGCAAACTCGATCTGGGAGTGTTACAAAGGGTTTTTTGTGGATGTTGGGGAGGAAAAAGGAAAAAGGCACAACCCATATCACGTTCAAATGGTTTTTTGTTGATTTTTTTTTCTTTTATTTTTTTATTTTTATTTTATTTTTTGAAATGAGGAAGAAGATGAACTCAGATCTGGCCCTCTTTTACAATGCATGTGCAGCTCACCTGTGACAAAATCGTACACAATTTGACGTTATTAATTGAACCAGAATTACAACTGATTTTAGACGTTAAGGAGCCATGATTTATAAAAAAAAAAATGTATACTTTGCTAAATTTCTTTATGGTGGAGTTTTTAACCCTTTGTTAATTTTGTAGGTTGCACCAAAAAGATTTGATTCAAGTTTTTTATTACAAAATTTCTTTTACAAAAATTTACATAAATGAGAATTTCTTCAATTATAAAATTTATGAATTTAACATGGCATGAATAACGTGTAGTTAATGATTGGTACCAATTACTTGCAAACGTGTAGTTAATGATTGGTACCAATTACTTGCAAACGTGGATGATCAAAATAACACGTCAGCTATAAGAAAAATGTTATCACGACTTTTTTTTATCATTTTTTATATTTATTATTTAATGTTAAAATTTAATAATATGATGTATTATTATTTAAATAAAAAATAAAATAACATTTTCCGTGCTAAAAAGGCGGCTAAAGTTAGCAAAGATAAGAAAGAAAACGAGTCTCAGTGTCAGACAAACACATTAGCGCGGCTAGTGAGCCAGTACCGCCCACCAATAAAGAAAAATAAGTACTCCCACTTTAGGGCCGGACTTTCTAAGGAGGTCTTCGTAAAAATGACTTAATAAATAAATTTTATTAATGAAATAATTTTTTAAAAATTTTTATTTATAAAATGGTTACAGAATGATTAGAAATGACAATTTTTTATAAAAAATAATTGAGTTGTCATTCTTTACAAAAAAAAAAATAATAATAATAATAATTTTATTTTATTAGATAGTCATTCTAATAAATTTTTCCTTCTTTCCTTTAATCTTTCCTTCCCCAACCGCCGTCACCTTCCCCAGACAAAGACTCCACCATTGCCATTGCCATTACCATTACCATTACTATTATCGGTATCACTCTTCGCCTATAAGCCACTGACCTCTCTTGCGCACTTTCACCAACACCTCGTCTCGCAACCTCTATTCTAATGGCGGATTCCGAACGCGTTTCCCGATCCCTTTTAGACGGCAACGCCGTGGCCGCAAAATCTCTCGCCCGCCTCGGCGTCGACAAGATGTTCGGCGTCGTCGGCATCCCCGTCACCTCCCTCGCCACCCGCGCCGTCGCCCTTGGCGTCCGATTCCTCGCCTTCCACAACGAGCAATCCGCCGGCTACGCTGCCTCCGCCTACGGCTACCTCACGGGCCGTCCCGGAGTTCTTCTCACGGTTTCCGGTCCGGGCTGCGTCCATGGCCTCGCCGGTCTGTCCAACGCCATGGCCAACGCCTGGCCCATGGTGCTGATCTCCGGATCATGCGATCAGAAAGATTTCGGCCGCGGGGATTTCCAAGAGCTCGATCAGATCGAAGCCACGAAACCCTTCTCCAAATTGTCCGTGAAAGCCAAGGACATTAGGGAAATTCCCGACTGCGTGGCTAGGGTTCTCGATTGCGCGGTTTCGGGTCGCCCCGGCGGGTGCTATTTGGATCTTCCGTCGGACGTTTTGCACCAGGAAATTTCTGAATCGGAGGCCGAGAAGTTGTTGGATTCTACGGCGGAGAGGTTTGGGGAAAAAGAAGTGGTTTTGAATTTGGGGAGTTCTGTGATTGAGAGAGCGGTTTCCTTGCTTAGAACGGCCGAGAGGCCGTTGATTGTGTTCGGAAAAGGAGCGGCATTTGCGCGAGCAGAAGGGGAATTGAAGAAGCTCGTCGAGAGAACCGGAATCCCCTTTTTGCCTACTCCAATGGGGAAAGGCCTATTGCCTGACACGCACGAGCTTGCGGCGACGGCTGCAAGATCTCTTGCCATTGGAAAATGTGACGTTGCTCTTGTTGTTGGCGCGAGGCTTAATTGGCTGTTGCACTTTGGTGAGCCTCCGAAGTGGTCGAAAGACGTGAAATTTATCTTGGTTGATGTTTCTGAGGAAGAGATTGAGCTGAGGAAACCGGAATTAGGAATTGTTGGTGATGCGAAAAGGGTGTTGGAGTTGATCAATAGGGAGATAAAGGACGACCCTTTTTGTTATGGGAACAATCATCCGTGGGTGGAGGCGATTTCTAAGAAGACGAAAGAGAATGTGGCAAAAATGGAGGCTCAGTTGGCAAAGGACGTTGTGCCCTTCAATTTCCTAACTCCAATGAGGATTATTAGAGACGCAATCTTGGCGTTGGGAAGGCCTGCTCCTGTGTTGGTTTCTGAGGGGGCTAATACTATGGATATTGGGAGGGCGGTTTTGGTTCAGACGGAGCCGAGGACGAGATTGGATGCCGGGACTTGGGGGACAATGGGGGTTGGTTTGGGGTATTGTATAGCAGCTGCCGTGGCTTACCCCGATCGGCTTGTGGTTGCGGTTGAAGGAGATTCGGGATTTGGATTTAGTGCCATAGAAGTTGAGGTATGTTCTGTGGTTATGTTTCCTTCCTTATATGCTAACCCAAGAACTCGTGTACAAGCATTTTATATTTATGGTTATTAGTATATGCATAAATGTAGAATAGAGACTTGAATGGTATGCTTCCTTGACTTCATTTATTATCAAATACGTGTATGTTCACATTATATGTTTGCTGCTTTAGATCAAGAGGGAAAGGAAAAAGGAAGGGGGAGGAGATTCTAATTTCTCAGGTACATACTAAGCAGAGGGACATGGAAGAATCCTCGTGCTTAGTATGTACTTGAGTTGTGCAAATAGTTATTTAGTCCTTGATGAGACCTAAGTTGCTGAAATACCTTAAGATTTCTATTTCAATGACTCTTATATATTCTTCAGTGCTCTTCTGGTTCATTATTACTCCCATACATGACCCCTAAGGATTTGCTTTCTTTAACTTTGGACACATATTAGACATAATATGAAGTATTTGATTTGTGATTTGATACAAGACACAAAAATAACTTCTCATAGTATAGAAATCATTAATTTTTTTTTTTATAATTATAGAAATCATTAAATTTATCCCTCAACTCTTTATACAGTTTTGGTTTTGAAATAATTATTTGGATCATGAACCAAACGTTTTTAAACAACTTGTATTACGTGAATTGTGTATTGGGCGTCTTATGGGCTGCTCTGTGTTCTGTCTTGGGTTGAAATCGTCACCTTGCCCTTGCCGTGAATTTAGTTGTCCATACAGAGAGTTTAACACGCATGGAATACTTTTTATTTAGGTTCTCTTGCCTTGAGCTCTCCTGTATTTACAATAAGTATTTTCTTTTGTTTCTGATCGAACTGCTACTTATTTAGTGCCTTGGTCTTGGATTGAATTTTTCCACAAAAAATTTGCATCCTAATTAGTTCTGTCAGATAATGAATAATTGATGTTGTAAGAAATCGGCTCATTTATCTTTTGGATGTCCCCATGCGGCTGCCCCCACTTTGCATTCAAAGATGTTGGAATACGTTTTGGAATTTTTGAAAACCTTATTTGCTTTTGCAGATATCATTCACATTGTCGCTACAAAGAAAAGACTTTCTTCGCTCGCTCTCTCTCTCTCTCTCGCTGTTTTTTCCTTTTTTTTAAATTGAAGTAATGGGAGGTTTAAAATGTTAGACTTTTGTTTTGCTTCCTAGGTAATATTTGCTATATTAGTAACGGGAAATGGAAATTTTTAGGGCTCGTTCACTTCGCTGATTCGAGTTTATAATTCGAGTTTTTCTACAGTAAAAAGCTCTCACAAACAATCACATCTAACTTTTTTGCTACAGTAAAAAGCTCTCACATAAAATCACATCTCAACTCGAATTTTAAACTCAAATCAGCGAAGTGAACGGGGCCTTAGTGATTTAAGATTCCTTGACACTGTTGTTCAGCGGTCTTACACATGTTTTTGGTTTCCTTTGTGTTGTAAGACTTCTGTGCCTTTGTTTTCAGCCCAAAAGTCTTTGACAACGCTCAATTTCTTGTGCATTTATCCCGAGTAGAAGAGGTTGTGGAGAATCATAAAGTGGCGTCCCTGTTTGTTTTGATGTGTAACTTCTTTATTATGCTAGCTTTATTTTTCCCCCTAAAATAATGCCAAAGGGGTAAGTTTTTTGTCTGTGTTCGATTGTTTTCTCATGATTGTTGATTCATATGATTCATTTTCAACTTTTTCTCATGATTGCTCATTTATCTCCTTCATTTCAACGTGAACAAGAGCTTTGAACATTTTCTTCTACGCTGCTTGCAGTTTCTTATTCATGCATCTTTACCGCGTCTTTCGTTAAAACAATAAACTGAATTCATATTCTATCTACTTGACACATTCTTTTGAATCTGCAGACGTTGGTTCGATACCAGTTGCCCGTGGTTGTGATTGTGTTTAACAATGGCGGAGTGTATGGTGGTGATAGAAGGAGCCCTGAGGAAATTACTGGCCCTTACAAAGATGATCCCGCACCCACTTCATTTGTACCTAGTGCAGGATACCACACTCTAATCGAAGCCTTTGGAGGGAAAGGTTATCTTGTTGGAACCCCTGAAGAACTCAAATCTGCCCTTTCAGAATCCTTCTCTGCTCGGAAACCAGCAGTTATAAACGTTATAATCGACCCCTACGCGGGTGCAGAAAGTGGAAGACTTCAACACAAGAACTGATGTATCGTGGTAATCAAAGTCTTGTCTTCTTCTTCGTGCGAGTTGGTTTAGCATTTGTAAAATTTTGCAATCCATGCATAGATACATATATCTCTGTCTGACATGTGTAAAATATTCTTCTGCTTCTTTGTCAGGCTTTTTGTCCTAGATTCCTTAGTTGATAAAATTCTACTCATAGTTCACTTTTTGTAGTTTAATTTCGTACTTGTTATGTTATATTCTAGTAATAAGTGCCTGCTATCTGCAGGGTTGACTGTTGAGGCGAATTCTGCAGCCTCGCAGATTATAAATGTGAGAGAACGGGGTGGGAAAAGGAGAAATACCTATGCAGAAATCTAAATTTTTTACTCTTATTATTAAGATTTTTTATTCAAATAATTGTATTAATTAAAAGGGTATTACTCAAAATTAAAGGAGTAAAAATTAAAATTCATACATTCTTGAAAGTAAGTTTGGTAATTTTTTTTAATTTAATTAATCCCTTCTAATAAGTGGAATGCATAGTGATTAATCCCTTCTTAGATTGGGTTATTGGCATCTCTCCCTCTCTCTCTCTCTCTTTTTTTTTTTTTTTTAAAGATATGTCATTTATTATTATTATGCTCCCTGTTTGTTTTAACAATCTGAATTGTTGTTTAAGATTCAAACTGTAGTTCAGGATTCAAATTGATGTTTGAGAGGAAAATTTAAAGATAATTCAAACCATTAACAATGGTTCAAACCCTTGATTTTAGAATTCACCACTCCCTAAACTCTAACAATCCTAATTGTTTTCTACAGTGAAAACAATTGTGATTCCATTTTTTCTCTTTTTTTAATTTCAAGCTTAAAAATATCATAACTTCTTCGTTTTAATTCCAATTGAGATGATTTTTTTTAATGTGTTCATAATGAATAGAGAAACAAATTCTCATCAATATTGCATATTTTTAGATGTCATTTACAATGAGATTTTATAAGATTTGTCAAAACTCTAATGACAACTTTTGACACTTTATCCAAACACAGTTCATATTTTATTCCCAATTCAAATTACAAGTTATTTACATATCTAAATTCCAGTTCTAATCACAATTCAATTCACTACAATTCAAATCACCACAACTCAAATTAAATTAACAATTTGAATTGTTGAACCAAACGAGCCCTAAGTTTTTTGCTTTTGTTTTATTTTTTAGTTTCTAAAAATGCCTGGTATCTATTATTGCATTAACCGTTTAGTTCACTGATTCGAGTTAAAATGTGATTTTATGTAAGAGCTTTTTACTGTAGCAAAAAAGTTAGATGTGACTGTTTCTTAAAACTTTTTACTGTAGCAAAACTCGAATTCTAAACTCGAATCGGTGAAATGAACGGAAAGAATCAAAACGAAAACACACTTGAGAAAACAGAATTACTGATCTTGTACTTGCAATTGAGTATTGCTAGAGTTGTTAACTTTTTGATTACTCAAAAAAAAAACAAAAACATTTTAGTGAGTTGTCGTTAATTTATACATGTAATCATTTAATTTAACCGATGTGATAATTTTAAATAATATTAGTGCATTGAACTTTAATGTCATTTTTAATTTATCTTTTAAACTTTAAAAATTTTCATTTTGTCTTGCGAATTTTGAATTTTTCCCACTTAACCACTTCTGTTGTAATTTCTGTTAAAACCATATATAAAAAAGAGAGTAATGCAGTCATGTCGCCTTTCTGTTTGAATTTTTGTTAAAAATAAACAGATAAAAACTATATGGCCACACTTAACCTTTCTTTTTCCGTTTGATTTGAAAAGAAATTCTTATAAAAGGGCTTAAACATGACAAATTCAAAATTCATGAGGTAAAGTGAGAATTTTTAAAGTTTAATGGTAAAATGAAAATGACTTTAAAGTTCAGGAGACACTAATGAGATTAATCCTAAAATTTAAGACAAAGTTTGTGAAATCCCCCTCAATTATGTTATCTGTGTCAACATCTACCTAAACTTTAAATTGTATGCGTTGTGCCTTTGATATATAAAATGTCTCTAGATAGGCTATTTTTTATACCGAATAGCATGTGTAACACACATAAGGAGGAAAAATTCGTCAATCTCTTTAAAGTTTAAACCCCTTAAATAACCCAATTAAAATAGGGCACGTTCTCCACTTTTTTCCCACTCTTTTCTTGCTTCTAAGCAACTACTCTAAGGAGAGAATATATTTCATCTTTGACCCACAACATATTTATTTGAGCGAAAGGCGTTCATTAATCCTTAAATGTCATATTGTGTTGAAGAAATTATCGCGATCTTGTAAAAATATTTCTCTCCCCCTGCGTGGCTGGGGTTTCTCCCTTAAGAGGTCCCCAACAAGTCTGCTCTTTGTGGGAGCCGGAGTTGACTGAGCTGCCTCCTCGCAGTCTCTAGCCTCCCGCCCCTATGTGGTTTTTTGCTTCTTTGTGTGTGTGTGTGTTTGTGTTGTTTTGCAAGTGGATGGTGCTCCTCCATGGGTAGGGTGGATCTTGGCGGATCTGGGTTTGGTTTTTGCTTTGTGGTTCACCTTCCTCATGTTGTATGCTACCACCGGGAAGGTCGCAAAGGTCACTGTGGTTGAGTTCGTGCCGTTGAAGGTGTGGGAATTTTTGGTTTGGAGCCGTGTAAGGGGAAGAGACCGTTGCTTTTTAACCGTAGATCTAGGACGCATCAGCCGAGAGATCCCGCTGAAACCATGGGAATTAGGTTGAAAGAAGGAGGCGGGGGAGCCTTTTCTTGGAGCCGTTCTTACCAGTCTTCGCATATTTCTAACATTGAGGGGCTCGATCGTGTTGGGATCTTTATAAATATTTTAATGTTTTTATGATTTTTGTTTATGTTTGTATTGTAATAACGGTAATGGTTTCCCCATATATTGTCATTTTGTCTCAGCTAGAGGATGGTTTTCTCACCAATCTATGTATGTGGTGTGTCTCTCAGATAGATGATGGTTTCCCCACCTCTCTAATATTGAGTTGTGTGATATAGGTCCATTGTTGGACTAGAAAGTGGCTCATCTTGTGTCGTTTTTACGTGGCCGAACCTTTTTCTTGTGCCACTTTGTGGAGGAGTCGCTCTCCGTTTTTGTGATAAGGGTGTGTTTATATTATCTAGTCATGTGAGTAACACCCGTTTCTTTGACTTTGGTGTTGCCTTATATCTTAACCCTTTAGTAACTCTTTATTGAATGATGAATATATTTCAACAAAAAAAAAAATGTCGTACTAACCTTAAATCAAGCAGCAACTACTTAATTTTGTATAGAAAATAACATGTTTTAAAGTTGTAAAGGGATTTGGAAACGTATCATAAATTGACATTATAACATATACGTTTTAAAGTTTAGAGTATATGAAGGGAATTTGTAAAATTTTATCCTAAAAATTTACTTGTCATCAAGGTGCCAATTAGCTGGGTTAAGGTCTACTATAATAAGGATAATCATTTTCATCAATGATTTAAGTATTCAATATGTTGCTTTCTTCCATTATTATTCATCAAATTCGTCATCCCTTGATTTGTTTCCGAAATTTTCTCAACGTTTCGTCATTAATTGAAGTAGAATGGTGGACTGTTGAGTCTACATATATAACTACACTGAGAATTAAGGATTAAAAAAAAAAAAACAAAAGAAAAAGAAAGAAAAAAGATGCATAGAATCGCAATGTGTTGATTTGTAGCGTCTTTAAATTCAGAACTTTTGATATTAAAAAGTTGGAAGAAAGAAGGAAATAGGTCAAGATTTAAGATAAATTAAAATTAATAGGTCAATAGTTTACACAAGTTAATAAATAAGTTAAATTACTGTTTTCGTCTATAACTTGTCTGGTTATGAACCATAACTTGATAAGTTATTCATGATTTTTGTCTATAACTTGTCTGGCTATGAACCATAACTTGACAAATTTATCCATCATTTATCTGATTATGAACTATAACTTAACAAGTTATGACTTATTAATTTTTATAACTAAAAATTGACCTATATACTTTCTTAAACTTTTCATATTGATCAATTTTATACTATTTCCCTAAAAAGTTTAATTGCCATTTGATTACATGGTAATAGTATTATATGTAAAATTATCAACTTCTTCTGATTGCCACGTCATTCTTTCATCTTCGTGTCTAAAAAGCCCCGTCTATGATTTAAGAAAAATTAAATTTCTTTTCCTTCACTTGATGATATTTTAATATTTCAATCTGTTTCTAAAATTAACTGCAAGATTCCACCAACCTTTTTATAATTACTTTGGGATCTTCTTTTTGCTAAACTTGCAACATTTCACCATCCATCCTCTACAAGTTACAACGGGTTGTCTTATTTATTTATTTTGTTAAAGTATAAAATTATTGTTAGCCCACCTCCTAACAGTTTAAGCTTTAGCTTAAGCTTTTGGGATGGATTGGTAAACTAACATGGTATCAGAGCGGGAGGTTCTGAGTTCAAACCCCCGTAATTGCACTATTTATCTCCATTTAAATTATCATCACGTGTTGGATCTTTAATATATCTCGGGCTTAAATATTCACGTGTTGGGCTTTCTAATTAATTTACCCACACAATTGCCCATTGTTCAGCCCACACGTGAGGGGGAGTGTTAAAGTATAAAACTATTATTGGCCCACCTTCTAATAGCTTAAGCGTTTGGGATGGATTGGTAAACTAACATGATATCAGAGCGGGAGGTCCTGAGTTCAAACTCCCGTAATTGCACTCTTTATCCCCATTTAAAAATTGTCATGTGTTGGGTCTTTAATATATCTCGGGCTTAAATATTCACGTGTTGGGCTTTCTAATTAATTTACCCACACGATTGCCTATTGTCCAGCTCACACGTGAGGGAGAGTGTTAAAGTATAAAACTATTGTTAGCCCACCTTCTAACAGCTTAAGCTTTTGAAGTCTTGATTTTCTTGCATCATCTTCCCTTTGAAGTCTTGATTTCACACCCAACCAATCGTTCCCTTCTCTTTCAAATCTTTTGGCACAATTATCACCAAAATAAACAGACTAATAAATCCTCATTTCAACTTGGTATTTAACTTATTAGGTGACAGAGAAAGGTCCTTGTGATTTTAACTACATCATATTTATTTTAGGGAAAAAAATTAAAGGAATTAAAACTTGAGATTTTTGCTATGAATAAAGCTTGAGATTTAAAGGTGCTAGTATTAGTTTTGCGGTTGAATATATAGACACGTATGTTTTCTGGTGCTGCTGTATATTACTGTCCTTGTGTATTTCTACTTTAGTACATTAATAGATATTCTCTAGCAAGAAATATCTTGTAACACATACGACTTTGGGTTTTGGTTGGTTATTCCTTTATTATTATTTTTTGCTCTGATACCATATTAGTTTAAAATTATCATGTGTTGGGTCTTTAATATATCTCGGGTTTAAATATTCACGTGTTGGGCTTTTCAATTAATTTACCCACACGATTGCCCATTGTCTAGCCCACACGTGAGGGGGAGTGTTAAAATATAAAAATTATTGTTGGCCCACCTCCTAAAAAAGCTTAAGCTATTTTTAAAAAGCTTAAGCTTTTGGGATGGATTGGTAAACTAACAGCCCAACACGTGAATATTTAAGTCCGAGATATATTAAAGACCCGACACATGATAATTTTAAATGGGGATAAAGAGTGTAATTACGGGGGTTTAAACTCAGGACCTCCCGCTCTGATACCATGTTAGTTTACCAATCCATCCTAAAAGCTTAAGCTAAAAAGCTTAAGCTATTAAAAGGTGGGCCAACAATAGTTTTATACTTTAACATATTTAGTAATTATTTTACAAAATTTTTATTTCCATGTTCGAATCATTTTTATTTTTTAAGTTAACTTTCAGTTCAGTTCATCATAATATTGCGAAAGTCAAATTGCGCTTAACAACCCTTACTATGGTGCCTTTAGCAAAATTTGCACCGATAAATATATATTAAGCATATTATCCCTCTGCAATTTGTAATCTTTTGCAATATTAAGGGCTTCTTCTTTTGATGTTTTTGAGTTAGGTAATTTGAGTGTAGATTTTAAATTGAGTTTGAATTATAACTTGAGTTGAAGTTGTAATTTGAGTTTGTATTTGGTTGTGTACATTTAAGTTATGGTTTGAGATAAGAATCTTTTTAAGTTTGTATTTGAGTAAGTCAAAACTTGAACTTGTATTTATATAGTATTTTAATAAAAACTCAATGCTGATGAAAAATTTTAATAGGGTATATAGGTCGGGTTTTATTCGTCTTTTCATTGTCAACGCATAGAAAAAAAATCATCTCAATCAGAATTAAAACAAAAAAGTTATAGCATTTTTAATAATAGAAAAAATACACTTCATTAATTTGAGTTTGAGTTGAAGGGGAAACTTGCCGTTTAGTTCGCTAATTTGAGTTTTTAATTCGAGCTGAGATATGATTTTATGTGAGAACTTTTTACTGTAGCAAAAAAATTAGATGTGATTGTTTGTGAGAGTTTTTTACTGTAGCAAAACTCGAATTCTAAACTCAAATCAGCGAAATGAACGGGGCCAAGTTCAAACCGAGTTTAAACTCAAGTTCAAATTAAAAGAACATGAACTCAAATAAAGTTTTAACTCACGTTACTTTTTAAAAATTTTTCACTTAAAAACAACCCAACCGAACAGTCCTTAAACAACCTTAACCATCTTTCAATTTCAAGAAAGTATATTGACAAGTGGACCATGTGGGTTTTGAAGGTAAGAATAGAATATCAGAGTAGCATAAAATGCGTTGAATTTGTACATTGCTGCAAAATTGTCAAATTCCTTATAAATATTTGATAAATTCTTCCTGATTTTGGTCTCTGAATTCTTGTTTGTACTGTTTAAGGAAAAAAAAAATGTGTTTTTGTGCCAAATTCGCCACAGTGAGACCTCTTGTGATGCTACAAATTTTTTTTTTTTTTTTTTTTTTTTTTTTTTTTTTTTTTTTTTTTTCGCAATTCTACTTAACTTTTATGTTTAAGGAGCTAGTAAGATCATGTTATTCTCCTTATCAACAAAAAAAAAAAAAACCCATGTTATTCTCTAACTTGGGGCCAACTATTTGGCATATATTATACTTTGTTAGTAATTATTATTATTTTTATTGTTCCTATATTTGGTTCTTTGTGCATGAGTCATCGTAATTCTGGTAGACTCTTTCTATGTCTCGTTGTGTATCTTAATTTGTTCAAAGGCGATAACGAGTGGGACATAAATTAATTATCAATAACTCTACTAAATTATAGCTATATCGACCAAAATTCAATTAATTTATGATTCATATCTTATTAACTGTGCATGTTCCATGCCATAAAAGCTCTCAAAGAGACCACTATTTGTAATGCTTCTTGTAATTAGTTTCTGGCTTTTTTCAATAGAGACAAACATTTTTTTTTTTAATTTTTTTGGGAATCCGACAAAAAGTAATTCATATGTACTTGTGAGATTAACCCATCTTTCAAACAACGAATAGAACTCTGTCCTAGGTCCTACCTCATTCTTTTCTTTTCTTCTCCCCAAATGAACATGTAAAAGATAAGCTCCAACCCAAAAGCATTTTTTATTTAGAAATTTTAAGCAGTTTTTAAGAAATAAGACAGTATTGGGAATTTTGAATGACTCGTGAAAAAGGGTATTAATGAAACAAAATAGCAATGGAATTTTTACTAAAAATATTACAAAGGGTTAATCTCACAAATAATCATTGAGACTTTGAAAATTTTAAATGTTACACAATTAGTCTTTGATACTTTATTTTATTTCAGTTTCGGTTATTCTGTTAACTTGGTGTTAAATATTTAACGAAATAATGTTACAAATCTGAAAAATAATTTGGTTATTTAATTTCCTTATGGATAAATATCTTCTTGAATAAAACTAATTTATTATTTAGTGAAATTTTAATTAATAAAATGAAAATTATATATTTTGTATTTTGATATATAAACACAACTTTGAAAAAAAAATTTACCAAACACCTGCATACTTTTGATCACAATAATTTTTGACTAACAACATAAAAAGAACAGAAATTTTTAACAGCACTATAATGCCAAACTGACGTATAATTAAAATCCATTTTCACTAAAAAAAAAAAAAATTAAATGCTTGTCTTTATTTTAAGTTTTAGAGCTGGAATATTATTCTGGTAATATGCCCTGTACATATTAATTTCCTAACCATGAACTAATTGGTTAGTAGTCTAACACATATTCGTAATAACTGTAGCTCAGTAGGTTTGTTCACATTTTAGCAAAATTTATTTTTCTTTCTTTTCATCTTCTTTCTTATCATCTAAAAAGAGCTTATTATCGTTTTAAATTATCCTTCTATCCATTGCAAAACATATTAGGCCCTGTTTTAAATGGAACAAAGTCGTCAGTTTGTGATGTTTATGCAGAGAGAAGAAGAAATGGAGGAGAATGTGAACGAGGAAAAGAAATGGGAGGTTTCACGTAGAGCGTTTGCGGCGGAGCTCAAGAAAGAGGGAGTTATAGCGGCGCCTATGGTGGCGGTTGCGGTGTTGCAGTACCTGCTGCAAGTGGTTTCTTTGGTAATCGTCGGACATCTTGGGGAGCTATCGCTCTCTAGTGTTGCTATTGCTACCTCACTCACCAACGTCACTGGCTTTAGCCTTCTTGTAAGTGATTTTTTGCTTTAGTCTCTTAATTCTCGTTCGTTTCATCGATTTGAGTTTTTAATTTTAATTTTGTTATAATAAAAAATTCTCATAAAAACTCACATCTAACTTTTTTTATTACAGTTAAAAATTATCACATAAAATCACATTAGTACTCTTAATTTTAAAGTTTCATTTATATATTGTGTTAGATAAGTGACTCAAATTAATTGTGAGAAAGTAATAATTTAAAGTTATTGTTTTTTATTTTTGAACAATAGTTATTAAGAATTTATAAATAAATGTATTGTGTAAAGTTTTACGTGTGCTCAGAAAAAAAGTACAAAAATAAAGTACCATCTTTTGAGGGAGGGAGAGAGAAAAATGAAGAGAGAGATAGACAAAGATGTATGAGACTATGAGGTTTTAAGTAGAGAGAGAAAATGAGAAAGTTAATTGAGTGTGTAATTTTAAAATTTTTAGTAAAAATTTCTCCCTCTTCTTTGGACGTAGAAAATTTTTTCGAATTACCTAAATTTTTATCTTTTTTTATTTTTTTATGTTATTTTTGTTTCAATTTATTTTTCTATTGCGTGAGTCTTTGTGGTGTATTTTTCTCCAACACATTGGAAAAATTATGTAGTGAACAGTATATGGATCTGATCATGTACTAAACTTTCTTGCTACATGATAGTATGAGATATTGGTGTCCTCAAAAAAAAAAAAAAAAAAAAGTCTTATCATTTTCCTAATGCTAATTGAAATGGTAGTAAAAATGGCAGTCAGGAATGGCGAGTGGATTGGAAACTCTGTGTGGGCAAGCATTTGGAGCAGAGCAATTTCACAAACTTGGAACCTACACTTGCACTGCCATAATCTCGCTCAATTTGGTCTGTCCTCCAGTTTGTGTCCTTTGGATTTTCATGGACAAGTTCTTGTCTCTCATAGGCCAAGACCCTCTAATCTCACTTAAAGCTCGCGACTATTCAATGTGGCTCATTCCTGGCCTTTTCGGTTCCGCAATTCTCAAGCCATTGACTCGCTACTGCCAAACTCAGAGTTCAATACTTCCAATGCTTTTTGCATCGTTTGTTGTCTTGGTTTTCCACATCCCGACATGTTGGACGCTTGTTTATAAGTTGCAAATAGGGAGTCATGGAGCTGCTATAGCCTTCAGTTTGTCCACTTGGTTGTATGTGGCATTACTCGGACTTTACGTGACATATTCTTCTTCCTTTGCCAGAAGTCGGATTGCATTCTCGAAAGATGCTTTTCTTGGTATTGGGGAGTTCTTTCGCTTAGCAATTCCTTCTGCTATTATGATTTGGTAAAAAAAAAAATTACTTCTTTTCAGTTTGTTTCCTTTTGATATGTTACACTTTTACAAGTACTTCTTTCGCCTTGCATTGCACATTGTTGAAAATAGTCTGAAATGGTGGTCTTGCGAGCTGATTACCCTGCTGTCTGGTCTTTTACCAAACCCGAAACTGGAGACTTCAGTACTATCTATATGGTAAACTCCAATTTCAGTACTAATTACTATTTTGACTGATTGGATTAATCATGTTTAGTAAAAGTGAGGTTTGCACAAGCTTCAGTATGCTTAGTACCGAACTTAATATGTTATTGTAAATGGGACATTGAGCTAACTAAACAGGTTAAACAAGGGCAAAAAAATAGTTTCCATTGTAATGCTAAACAATAAGCAGGAATTTGCACATAAATGCGTAATATTGAATTTACTGGTTGATTATTAGAATTATTATGGTCAAAATCTAACATGCATTTATTTACCTTTGTAATCAGCCTTACCCTCTCCACATTGCACTTCACCATACCGTACGGAGTTGGAGCTGCAGCAAGGTTGACTCTTAAAACATTTTGCTTGAGCGTTTATGCGTTTGATGAAGTAGATATTTTGTATTTTAGGAGAAAATAAATCTCTAAAGCATCAATATGTGTAAATTACAGCACTCGAGTGTCGAATGAATTAGGCGCTGGCAACCCCGAAGCAGCTAGATTGGCTGTGTGGGCAGCAGTTTTTCTCGCAACCACAGAAGCAGTAATTGTGGGCACTGCTCTCTTCGCCTGCCATAATGTTCTGGGATATGCTTACACAAATGATAAACAAGTGGTTGACTATATTGCATCCATGGCTCCTCTGATCTGTGTTTCGGTTTTCATGGACAGCTTACAAGCAGTTCTGTCAGGTTAGTTTTCAGTTTTAATTCTCACAATCAACTCTCTTTTACAAATGAAATAATTTATTTTCCTCTCTTCTTTCATGTTGCAATTAGGAATTGCTAGAGGAGGTGGATGGCAGCACATAGGAGCGTATATTAATCTCGCGGCATTTTATTTGGTTGGACTTCCTGTGGGTGCTATACTCGGTTTTGTTCTTCCTCTGAAAGGGAAAGGCCTTTGGATCGGAATAGTGATTGGCTCAGCTGTGCAATCAACTCTTCTTTCTCTTGTGACAATTTTCACCAACTGGAAAAAGCAGGTAATTACTCTAATTATCTTCCTTTAGCAACCGTTACTATATCATTGCTTAATTGAAAACTATATGACTTTGTATGAAAATCAGGCTACTGAGGTTTATATTCTGAAAATATAACAATGCAGGCAATCAAGGCGAGGGAAAGGGTATTGTTAAAGAGATCTTCTGTAGCAAATGAATCAGATTGACCGCGTAAATTACGGGCAGAGATCTAAGTTTTCATATGGGGTGGCTAAAGAGTAGTGTGACTTAGCATAGAAGGGTGCCTTTTATGAATTTCATGAGTAGTAGTTCTGTTTTTTTTCTTTTCTTTCAAAATTCAATCGAGTGAATTATATTCATATTCTAGTTATAGTTGTGTTCATAACAGTAGTGGGATATGCCAAGGTAAAAGCATATATAATTGCTTAGTTCTATTTCAATCAGAGATGAAAATTTGCAGTGGGAGAAATGGATTTGCTGCATGGGAATGAATTTCAAGGGTACAATCACTCATAAATATTATTTTACCAAGCATATTTTTAAAGAGCACGGGTGAGCTTGTTAGCAGGATCAGTAAATCCAACATTTGTTCCTATCCTAAAATTTTCATTCAAATATGAGTTTAACAAGAAAACATCACTACTACAGAAACTACTTCAGGTGACCTTCATCTAGAGCCCAGGTCAAAACGAGAGAGCCACACTGGCCTTTTCGGCTAGGTAACGAGAGGGATTTAACGACGGTTTTTCTTAATCAAGCTATTACACAAGACAAATCAAAGCTTAGGAAAATTGCCCAAGAAGCCATGTGAAGCAGACAATGATTTCATTCATGTAATCTAGAAAGATGTGACAGTTGATACTAAACTGCTTATAGACGATTTCTTGCTCATTTTAACTCGAACCATTGTCAGCTCTAGTCTGCTCAAATATCCGTTCCCTTGTCTCGATAGCCTGCACCATTCACATAAAGAAGCATTTCTACTTGTAAGCTGTTTTTGGATCATATGAGGACTTGGCACAATAAAGACAACGTCTTAGGTCATCACAATGAAAGAATGGTTCAGCGTGAATGAACCTTCAAAATGATAGTTTTCTTTTACCTACCTGCTTTTGCCAATTTGTGAAGGATGTTATGAGGGCAAGTAGCAATACTTGAACTGCAGATCCTGTTAGTATTCCGATCCAAAGTCCGATTCCTCTCAAGTGTAGCACGAAACATAACACGAGAGCTAATGGAATTCCAACAAGATAGTACGCGGCGAGATTGACGTAACCTCCTAAATGTTGCCACCCGCTTCCTCTAGAAATACCTGGTCGCAAAGAAGAAATTTTTTATAACTAAAAGTCATGAGAAACAAACGCAACAAAGGTATTATTCATTTAGTTCTAAATTCTAAATCCCTAATATGTTACATTCTACTCAATATTTTTAATCCTTTTTGTAAAGCAGGTAAGGTATGAAGTACATAAAGTAATATAAATGTAATGAGTGACTTTAAATAACGAGATAAAAGAATATGATCTTAAACTAGGAAACATACCAGAAAGCACAGCTAGCAGGCCATCCATGACAACTGAAAGAGACAGCAAAGGCGCTATTTCCTTCATGTAATCGACAACCTCCTTTTCATTGCTGTAAGCATATCCGAGAACCGAACGACAGCAGAAGAGAATGACGCCCACAATGACAGCCTCTACAACTGTAAGAATCACTCCTGCATAAACTGCTGCTTGAGCTGCTTTTGGATTCCCGGCTCCAAGTTCATTCGAAATGCGAGTGCTGCAAAATGGAAAAAAAAAAAAATCAAAAATAAAAAAGATAGAAGAATCAACTTTATTTTACCGCATAAAAGATTTTTAATAGTTGTGCAGGCATATGAATTTGCTTTCGATTCTTGAAGAGACAGTTAGAAGCTAACCTTGTAGCAGCACTAATTCCATATGATATCAAGTAGTGCAGTGAAGTTGTTGTAAGGCTGCTCATAAGAATTATATCAATTAGATTAAATATCCTATTGATGGTACACATACATTGTTTCAAGAAAAAAGAGGAGCTGATGAGTTATACCAAATGGAAAGTACTGAAGATTCAAGTTTTGAATTTGGTAGAGTTCCGGAAAGCAAAATAACCAGCTCAAACGACCACCACTCTAGGCTTTGAACATTGGCATGAAAATCAAGTGTCAAAAATGAATCGATAAACCAACATGTTTTACAGCAAGAAGGAAGGGAAAATACCAAGCCATAATAGCAGAAGGAACAGCGAACCGCATATACTCCCGAATGCTTAAGAACACATCAATTGTGAACGAGGATCGAGTTTTTTCACAGACAGAAGAACACTTAATGTAAATCCCAAGCATCATGACACACAACCAATACGACAAACCAAGTGACAATGCTGCTCCAGCAGTTCCTAGTTCAAACTTATACACCAGAGACCAACAAAGAGGAATGTGGAGAGAAAGAGCGACGCATGAGCTCAAGAGCATTGCAAATGTCAGCCCCTGAGTTTGTAAGTAGCGAACCAATGACTTGAGAACGGCGTAAGCAAAAAGTGCCGGAAGGAGAAAAATAGAGTATCTTCCTGCTTGCTTGGAGACTGAAGGGTCCTGACCTAACAAGACCAGTAATTTCTCCTCAAATATCCAGAGGAGAGATACTGGTAAACACACAAAAGTAAGAGCAACCACAGAGCAGTAAGTGTAGGTTCCGAGCTTTCGGTATTGCTTGGCTCCATAAGCTTGCCCACATAATGTTTCCAATGCACCAGCCATTCCAAACTGTTTTAACCCTTTCAGTTTAGCTTAATTGTTGTTACAACTTATAAAACTTCACATGTAATGATGAAAATATTTGAGAAATATCAGTAAAATTGTAGTGATACTTGAGCTGGTGTAGTTGTAAAACAGATTACTCTGTTATGTATAGCACAAACTACTGAGGTTTATTGTACACGAGCTTGTTTACGAAAACAAGGGTAATCCCATTTTTAGTCTCTATACTATAGGCCATTTTGGCTCTTAACTTTTAAAACTTACCAAACAAGTCCTCAATCTATAAAATTATGTCAAATTAGTCCCTTATGTTCAATCTAGAGACAAACGGGTACGTGGGGTCATGTGCAGTGTAGTTAGGTATGGTTTTCTAATTTTACATGTTAGAGCACGATTGTTAAGAATGAAGCGATGCCTAAAACAAAATGTTTTACAAGTTGGTAGATTGAGGACTCGTTCTACAATGTTTTACAAATCAGACTCTAAAACGGGATAGGGCATTTTTGGAAGACTAAAATGGAATATGCACAAGCTCAAAGCCTCAAACAATCCTCTTCCCAGCTTAATTTCCACATAGCTCTAATCATGACAAGATTCTCCAAACATATTTGTTGCAACGTCTCCAACACAAAACTCAGAAAAAACAGATTAAGAACGAAAAGAGAACAAGATCAACACGCGCAATTTTACCCGGGTTCAGTTCAATATATAGACCTACGTCTTGCTGAGCTCCTCCACAAGAAAACTCAATTCCACTATAGAGAAGAACTGTACACCCTCAATCTCACCAGATTACTAGAAATCAGAAACTCAAATCTCCAAGAAACAAACCCAGAGGTTAAGAGGTTCTTTATGGAAAAGGCAAAGGAAGATAAAGTACCTTTAGTTGGTCACTTCAAGTTATCAGCATCACAGTCTCCATCAACTGAAGAAGAAAAATTAAAGATGTCCAAAATCCAATACTCTAGTGCAGTGGGGTCACTCATGTATGCAATGGTCTGCACCAGACCTGATTTAGCCTATGCTGTGAGTGTTTTAAGTAAGTACATGGCTAATCCAGGTCAAGATCATTGGTTAGCAATGAAATGGGTACTTAAGTATGTTAACAACACTTTGAACTATGAACTGATCTACAAGAAGAGATATAATATTATGACTTTAGAAGGCTATATAGATTCAGATTATGCTGGGGACAGAGATAAGTGGAGATCTACTTCAGCTTTTGTAATGACTTTGGGAGGAAACTGTATTAACTGGAAAGCACAGTTGCAGCCAGTGGTGGCTTTATCTAGCACAGAGGCTGAGTATATAGCTTTGACAGAAGGTTTCAAAGAAGCAATTTGGTTACAGGGTTTGCTAGGAGAACTGAAAGTGATGAAGGAGAAAGGAACCGTTTATTCTGACAGCTAATTAGCAGTACAGTTGTGCAAGAATCCAGTCTATCATGAAAAATCGAAGCACATTGATGTTAGACACCACTTCATCAGAGATAAGGTAGAAGAAAGAGCGGTGAACTTGGAGACGATTGACACTGAAGAGAATCCTTCTGATATGGCAACAAAAGTGATTCCATCGGGCAAATTCAAGAAATGTCTGGATTTGCTCAATATTGGAAAAACTTAGCCAAAAAGGATTGAGCGATGATTTCAAAAGAGAACAAGTAATTATTTCTGAGCTTAAGGTGGACTTTGTGAGAAGTAATCTCATAAATAATTGTGTTACACCATGGTCGAGACATCGACCACTCTCTCGAACGACAGACGCCGAGGACTCCCCGCAGAGGGTCGGCCGCTGGCGTCGAGGGAATGGCCGTAGCTAATGTGCCATCTACGTCGAGAGACCATATGTGGGAAGAGGCGCCAGGCGCAATGACTCAACCTTCGAAGGCCATAGCGCCGAGGCAGCACTGTCAGTATTCTCTACCAGCGGTCTTGTCAACTCGAAGAGGGAAATATTGATCCGACTGCTACTGTAGGAGTCAGGAAATCAGGCAGCAGATAGGAAGGATCAGCCGCGTTTCCTGGAGCAGTCGTCATGAAAACTCACCTACCCTCACGCGGATCGAGGAAAGAAGATGGCTTCCTCCTTGGGAACGGGGAATACGTATTCACATGTAAAGACCTATAAATAGAGCCAAGAAAACCCAGAAAGGGGTTAGACACCATTTCATTATTAAGAGAAAACTTGTAAACGGCTGAAAGATTAGTGCATACACAAGTGGATTAGGCAAAGAGTTATTGCCGAACCACTATAAAATTATTGTCTCATTTACATTATTTTCCAGTTTTTATCTTTGATTCAATCATTAGTGTCACCGTGAGTGTTCTCGGAGAGGTAATTGCGAGTTGTCGGAAAAACACCGTCAACAATTGGCGCTAGAAGGAGGGCCATAAGCCCAGAAATTTAATCCAGTTTTTAACCAAAAGAAACAGCAACCATGCGTCCCAGGAACGCTCGCTTGCTGTCGGCTAACCCGAGAAGCCAGGCAACCCAAAATATCACCGCCGCAGGGACCTCAACGGATCCGCTCCCACCGGCTGCCGAGAATCCCCCAGACCGTATTGACCAGCTCCAAAACCAGGTTAAAACGCTGGCCGCAACCGTGGAAAGGATGGCTACGGCCCTTGCTGGGCGGGACCAGGGGCAAAATCCAATGCCACCGCTGGAGGATACGCCGATGAACCCGGTGAACGCCGCTGTTAGGGGCCAAGGGATTGGTGACCAACGCGGTGACGCCGAGGAAGTCGGTGACAGTCGAGCCAACGATCCCCGCCCGACCAAGTCGAATAGGTCTGTGGGGAGCAGACAACGCGCGGCACGGAGGAGAGTGCGGGAGAAGGCTGCGGCGTAAGCTGTGGAAAACAGGATGCGCCCCCTCGACCGCAACAGGATGCGAATAGGAGGAACGCCGTCCCCGTGGAAACTTCGTTTGTACACAGTGGAGACCTTAGGACGAGGCTCGACGCACAACTCGGGAAAGCCGTGCAGCTGGCGAGAGAGGAATAGCTCGCAGCGGATAATAAGGCTCTGGCCGAGAAGATGGCCAGGCTGGAAAAGCAGATTGGGAGTCGACTAAACAACTTTGAGCAGGTTGTGGGGAAGGTAGCCGAGACGGTCAACGTCAACGCCAAGATGTACACATCTCACGACCACCCGTTCACGGAAAATATTATCCGGGTACCGCTTCCCGACAAGTATAAATCGCCCCCCATTCCGCTATATGACGGAAGGAGTAATCCGGACGACCACTTGGAGGTGTACACAGGACACATGGTCCTACATGGATACCCCGAGGAGATCATGTGCCGGGCATTCAGGAATCACATTTTCGATTCTGCGAGGAGATAGTTCAGATCCCTGAAACCAAACTCCATTACCAGCTGGGATGATTTGAAGAACGCCTTTTTGACTCAGTTCATAGGTGTCAAAAAATACATCCCACCAAAACAAAACCTCTCAAGGGTGTACTAGGGACCTAATGAGTCCCTTAAAGACTAGATAGCCCGGTTTGGGGAACAGGTCGCCGCCACTGAGGGAATCTCCGATGAGGTGGCCTTAATGGGGGCGCTGTCGAGTATGAAGAAGGACATCCCCTACAGCACAGACCGCGACCGGAGACCACCCCATACTTACCAGGAATTCCTGACAAGGGCATAGGAGTTCATCAACGCCGAGGAGGCTAAGAAGGCCTTGAAGAGCAAGGCGGCAACCCTTGCCAAGGAAGAGGTAGGGCAGGCGAGCAGTCAGAATAACGGTAAGAAGCGCCGAGGTCCCCCTCAGGTGCAAGCCGAGCAGAGGTACAACCCGGCACCGAGCAATAGGGGCGGCAACGCCTCGACGAGTCAGGGGGAAAACAAGCGGCCAAAGCCGCAACGGTACGACGTCTATACACCCCTGACTATGGGGATCGATGACGTCTACCACGAGATCAGTCATCTCTAGGTCCTGCGTCAGCCACCGCCGCTGAAGTCCGACCCAGCACGGAGAAACCAAAATAAGTACTGTCAGTTTCACGGCGAGAGTGGGCACACTACAGCCGAATGCTATGACCTGAGAGATGAGGTCGAGAGGTTGATTCGAGAGGGGAGGCTCAGCGAATACCAAGTCGACCGTCGGAACAACAACAATAGACGCAACAACGACCGACGAGACGAGCAGAGGCATGACAACCCACCCGAACCAGTCGGCGTAATAAGAATGATCTTCGGGGGACCATACCTCAGCGACACCTCTCGACACGCACATAAAGAGTACGCTCGAGAGGCAAAAGAGAAGTTCAGTCAGAGGATTATGAACGTCTCCGGACGCGAGGCTAAGGCAGCACGATACGAGGATGCCGAGATCACTTTCTCAGAGGCCGACGCGAGGGGGGTACATTTCCCCCAGAGTGATGCCTTGGTCGTCGAGGCCATGATCGGTAACCATACGGTTTGCTGCATCCTGGTCGACAACGGTAGTTCCGTGGACATCTTGTACTCAGACTGCCTTGACAAGATGGGGCTCCCCCGCGCAAGGCTGCAAAATAATACGCAGCCCTTGTACGGTTTCATAGGGGACAACGTCATCCTGGAAGGGGCGATAGAGCTGCCTATGACCATTAGAGACCGACCACACACCTCGACTGTTATGTCAAAGTTCCTGGTGGTGAAGGGAGGCGACCAATACAACGCGGTCATAGGGCGCCCGACGCTGAGGGCCTTGAGGGCAGTGACATCCATCTACCACCAGATGATGAAGTTTCCTACTCCCAATGGGATCGGCAAGGCCCGAGAAAACCAGTATGAGTCAAGGTTTACGTACTCGGAGACGGTTCGCCAATACGCCGAGCCGACACAGGTACGGAGGGAGCTGAGAATGGTCGAGGCCAGGGCGGAAGAATACGATTTGGATCCAAGGTTCCCAGGAGAAAAGACCAGAACGGAACCGGTCGAGAAATTGATCGAGGTCCCCACCGATGAGAACGCTAAGGGTGGGCTCAGAACTGGGGACACAGGCCCGCGAAAGGC